GGGGCCGAACTAGCGTAGGGTCGTGCGGCCCAGAAACTCACAGCCGGTCGAAGGGCGGCGCGGCGCAAAGAAGGCCCGACCAGGATCGCGCGTGAGGAGACGTCGCGGGCGCCGGGCGAGAGGCCGGCGTGAGGGGGCGCGGAGGCAGGGGCCGCCGGCTGCCGGGACCCGCCTGTCCTCGCGTCCGCCGCCGGCATGAGCCACATCCAGATCCCACGGGGGCTCACGGAGCTGCTGCAGGGCTACACCGTGGAGGTGCTGCGGAGGCAGCCTCCCGACCTTGTCGACTTCGCGGTGGACTACTTCACCCGCCTGCGCGAGGCCCGCGCCCAAGCCTCCGGCTCGCCCGCCACCCCTCCTTCCGGCGCCCAGCGTCCAGAGCCCGGCCCTGGCCTTGTCGCCGACGCGAACGCGGACAGCGAGACCGAGGAGGACGAGGACTTGGACGGTAGGCGGCGGGCTGGGCCGAGGTTCGCGGCGGGGGGGACAGAGGGAGCGGGGCAGGGGGTCTTTAGAGAGCTAGATGGGGCTGCGGGTGTGTGTGGGGGGGGTGCAAGCCGAAAACCGTGGGCCAGGACCTTGGAGTTCCCCAGCGGAGTGTGTCGGGGATCCCGGAGCCGCCGGCGTGATCCCAGCGTGCGCCACTTCCAGTTTGAGCTCCGCCGTGCCCCGAGCCCAGGAGCGCACCGACTGAGTTGTCACATTCAGCCTCCAAGGAAACGTGCGCGCTTTCGGCCCGCGTGGTGGCGCGGACCGCCTGGCCCGAGGAGAACCCCGCCTCTGCCAGAGACCCTTCGTCGGGTTTTGTTCGGAAGACAAGAACATGCATCGACTCGTGTGTAATAACCAAGACGGTAACTGTGTTTGGAAATAATTCATTTTGTGAAAAGTTATTGGGAAGAACTTTAAGCACAGACAAAAGTAGAGAGAGAAGATGAAATGAACCCCGAGTTGTCATCACCCACATTCAGCAGTTCAAATATCCGTCCCATATGTTTCATCTGTACCTTTTTTCCTTTAGCTGAAGTTTTTTTAAAAAACAAATCCCTGTTAGGTCATTTCACTCCTGCATACTTGCGTATGCATTTCTTAAAATATGGACCCTGGCAATGTACATAGTTTTTAATTTGGCTGAAACGGTTGAATCAAATTTGGTGAGAGTAAACAGTAACTGCCTTGTTTAGCATATGGGGTGTAGGAAAGAAGACGAGTAACACTTGCTACATCTGATTGAAGCAGGGTTGTCAAAAAGCAATTTCATACCTCGGTTGCTTCAACCTAGTCTTTGTCAGTTTAACAATAGAATTATCCTACTTTTGAACAGCCAGAGTTTAACAAAACAAAACATTTGAGAGACAAAATTAGAGACAATATTATTAGAGCATACTGAAAAAAAAAAAGAAAAAAACACCCAACTAGTTCTGAGTTGAATCCACATTAAGTCATGGTGGCAAGCATGCTAAAGAGTAGAAATTGCTCTTCTGTGTTTCCCCTAACTTATTGCACATTAAATTATGGGGTTTTCAGCTTCAACCTGGAAATCAGAAACTATTTCCCAAAATCTCTGCCACAGATTTGTTTTGTGGTCTAAGACAAGTTGTCATACTTGTTTGATTTCAGATTTACTTATCCTTAAATGGGGACAGTGACAACACTCTCCTAGAGATAACTGTTTTTAAAAGCTTTATTTTAGGAGTGACTCCTATGTTTATTTTCCTTGTCATATCTATAAATCACAAAGCTGTAATTTGCTTTGCAACAATTTTTTCCTAGTCTGTTTCTTTTTTAAATTTGTTTTTTAATTACAGTTGACAATACAATATTATATTAGTTTCAAGTGTACAATACATAGTGATTAAATGTTTATATACCTATGAAGTCCACCTTACTAAGTCTAGTATCCATCTGACAGCACACATAATTATTACAATATTATTGACTATATTCCCTATGCTGTACTTTATATCCCGTGACTGTTTTTATAACTGGCAATCTGTACTTCTTAATCTCTCCTACTTTTTTCACCCATTCCCCCAAACCCCGTCTCATCTGGCGACAACCAATTGTGGCAGTTTTTATTTACAAAAAAACAATGTTGTAGAAATTAATCCCAGATGAGTAAAAATGGAGTTTATAAGTTTTGTGTTATGTCTTCACTCGTTATTTCTGATATTTTTTTCAAAATTGAGTTGACTTAAATCTTTACAACCCTGTGCTTTATTTTACTGGTATTTACGTGTTTTTTTGTTTATATCTCTTAAGTGGCTGTGCTATATATAATTATAGAAATCAACACAAAGCCAGATTCTGTTTACAGATAATAGACTAAAACGTTGCACACAGTGAGATAATGTTTCACACTCATAAGGTCGGCTATTATGAAAAAAAAATTGCAAGTGTTGGTGAGGATATAGAAAAGTTGGAACCCTTGCTCATTGCTAGTGAGAATGTAAAATGGTCTGGCTGCTGTGTAAAAGAGTTTGGTGTATCCTCAAAAAGTTAAACAGAATTACCATATGTTCAAGCAGTTCCACTGCTATGTATATATATCCCACAGGAATAGAAAAACATGGAGTCCAGCAGATACTTATATGCCAATGTTTATTGCAGCATTATTCACTATAGCCAAAAAGTAGAAACAATCCAAGTGTTCCGTCAACTGATGAATGGATAAACTAAGTGTGGAATTTACATGCAATGGAATACTATTCATCCTTAAAAAGGAATGAAATTCTGATACATGCTACAACGTGGAAGAACCTTGAAAACATTACGCTTGTGCAATATGCTAGATACAAAAGGACGAACATTGTATGATTCTGCTTATGTAGCGTAGGGATACCTAGAATAGGCAAACTCATAGAGACAGAAAGTAGAAAGAGGTTACCAGGGGCTGGGGAAGCAATAATAGAGAGTTATTGTTTAATGAGTGCAGAATTTCTGTTTGGGATGATGAAAAAGTTGTGAAATTGGATAGGGGTGATTGTTGCACAACACTGAATATCATGCCATGAATAGGAACATTAGGGTAATAAGCCCACAGGCTTATTATCTAATTTCTAATTAGAAATTAGAAATGGGATATGTAGTGTTAGAACTGTAAATAGCAAGGAGACTTTGCTTGATAAGGTCCTGTTTGGCTAGCCATCAATTCATTTTATAAAATTGTTTGTTATTGGAAACACTTGAAAAACTTAGTAGCTGTTATTCGTTTGTTTTATCAATAGTTTTGATATCAAACAGCACACCAAGTATGAAGTATTATAGTGGGCATTTAACTCTGGGGAAAGCCTGAAGAGTTCAGATTTATTAATAAATAACTCTTAACTGTATCCTCATAAGAACAATAAATTAACATTCAGACTTAATTTACTTCTGTAATTATCATAAAATATTTATACTTGTAGATCTCCCAGCGTTTTAACAGCTTTATGGAGATATAATTCACGTGCCATATAATTCATCCATTTAAAGTATGTAATTTGGTGGTTTTAGTATACTCACGGATATGTGCAACCACCATCACAATCAATTTTAGAACATTTTCATCACCCCATAGAAAACACTTTAGTCATCACCTGCCAACAGCCCCATTCCCTTCAGTCAAAGGCAACCACTAACCTACTTTCTGTCTATAGATTTGCCTATCCTGGACATTTCATAAAAATGGAATCAGACAATATATGGTCTTTTGCTCCTGGCTTTCCCTGAGCATGAGGTTTTCAAGGTTTATCAGTGTTGTAGCATATGTTAGTATTTCATTTCTTTTTAATTGATGATACTATTCCATTGTATGCATATACCACATTTTGTTTATTCGTTCTTCAGTCGATGGACATTTAGGTTATTTCCACTTTTTGATATTATGAATAATGCTATGAACATTCATCTGTGCAAGTTTTTATGTGGACATATATTTTCATTTCTCTTTGGTATATACCTAGGAGTAAAATTGTTGGGCCATGTGGTAACTCCATATTTAACCTTTTGAAGAACTGCCAGACTGTTTTCCAAAAGTGGTTGTACCATTTTACACTCCAACCAGCAGTGTATTGAGGGTTCTAATTCCTCCACGTCCTCGTCAGGCCCCGGGTGCACACCATGAGCGAGTGTATGAGAGGAGACACCCTGCCTTCAGAGATCCAGTTCTTAAGGGGAAACGGCCACATCCATAGGTCAGGGGTGGAAGTTGGGGGGGTGGAATTAAAGAGGGAAAAAAACCCTTTTTTTGAATGAAATTTACATAACATAAAATTCACAATTTTAAAGTGAATAGTTCATTGGCATTTAGTACATTCACAGTGTTATACAGCAATCAGTTCTATCTATAAAACATTTCTGCCATTCCAGAGTAAAGCTTCTCACCCATCAAGCAGTTTCTCCCCCTATCTTCCTTCCCCTTCCCCCATCTCTGGCACCAGTCTGCATTCTGTCCCTCTGGATTTACCTGTTCTGGCAAATGGAGTCATACAATATGTGATCTTTTGAGTCTGGCTTCTTTCACTTAGCATAATGTGTTCAAGGTTTATCTCTAGTGTGGCATTACCAGAACTTCATTCTTTTTTATTGCTGAGTAATATTCCATTGTTTGTATATACCACAGTTTGTTTATCCATTAATTAGTTGATAGACATTTGGGCCATTTCCACCTTTGGCTATTGTGAATAGTGCTGCTGTTAACATACCTGTGCATTTAACTTGTTTGAGTACTTGTTTTTAATTCTTTTGGGTTATATACCTGTGAGTGCAATTGTGGGGTCATATCGCATTTCTATGTTTAGCTTTTTGAAGAGATGCCAAACTTTTCCACAGTGGCTTAATCATTTTACCTTGTCAAAGTACTTGGATTTCAGTTTCCACATCCTTGCCCACACTTGTCTTTTTTATTATAGGTATCCTAGTGGGTGTGGTTTGGTATCTTATTATGATCTTCATTTGCATTTCTATAATGACTAATAATGAACATCTTTTCATGTGCTTGTTGTCCATTCGTATATCTTCTTTGAAGAAATGCTATTCAGGTCCTTTGTCCATTTTTTAATTGGGTTTTCTGTCTTCTTGTTGAGTTTTAAGAGTTTTTTATGTATTTTGGATACTGTCCCTTACTGATATGTGATTTGCAAATACTTTCTCCCATTTTGTTAGTTGTCTTTTTACCTTTTTACATTCTTAAAGCCACCCACGTTTTAGATTTTGATAAAGTCCCGTTTATCTATTTTGTTTCTTTTGTTGCTGTGCTTTGGATGTAATTACGGGTCTGCTTTTTCTTTGTTCCTACCCTAGCTCTCCTCTTTTGCTTGGACAGCCACAGAAGTTCCTTATCTTAGATGCTTTGCTCTCTCCAATCTACACAGTCCTAGAAGACTTGGTCCCTGTCTTTCTCTTTACCTTCTCTTTCTAGCCCTACCCCTCCTTTCCTTCTGAGCTTGTTTCTACACTTGTCAGGCT